TTGGTGTGCTCAGGCGTAGCCGCGCACCTGTGAGGGAACCCAGTAACAAGGGAGGAACCCCCCCCGCCCCCCCAAACAAGAGTGGCTTTTGTGGACATGTGAGGAAAGGCGCGCCGGGGGAAAGCCCGTGCATGTGACAAACCAGCTCCATGTAGCTCGCTCCAAGCATCATTAACAGCAGAGATTGTACTTGTGGGTGGAGCACACCAACCTACTGAAGCTCTAAACACAGAGCAGATGTGAACGCACTGAGGGCACCGCGCAGGAATCAGTCAAAGTCCAGGTAGAAACCCCTCTCATGCCACGTGGCTTTTTTAAAGAACATTTCCAGCCTTTTGATAACCGAGTACCTTGAATATTCAAACCCATTTCCCAAAGAAACAAGCGAGTGTCTCTTGAAAGCGCCCATAAGTCAGTAAGCGACAGATCATCAGGGTCATGGATGGGGGAAAAAGCATAACTTACTCTGGCCACCTGGCATCCTGGTGAACCCACTGCTCCGGAACAGCAGCTGTAGTGAGTTTCCCATCCCCCTGGCACTGAAATGGCAAGAGACAAGAGTTAGACAAGACCCTTGTCAGCGAAAGGGTAAGTGTACACTGCTGCTGAGAGGTGCAACTCCCACCTTGTGTAGAACCATACTAGATCTGCTCGAGGTAGCACCTAAAAAGAAAGGAGTGGCCACACTGGCACGGGCGGCAGCTCGCGGGACCACTATGCCCCCCCCCCCGAGCCATCATGGCCACGCTGCTATTTTTAGACACTAGCTGAACAGAACTGGAGTAGTGTCCACCTGAGCTGGCCACTAGACCTCCCAGCGGCTGTGCAGACAGAACGCAACACGCTCAGAGTCCCTGGCTAACACTTCTAGAGCAGTGAAATGAAAAGACTGAGGGGCAAAGTCCAAAAGCCTGGAGGGTTCAAGTCTTCCCCTCCCAGCCAAGGAGCCAGTGCCAGAGAGCCAGATACGGATCTGGTGAGCCACTGGCTTGAGACACAGAGGCATGAATGATGGGGGCTCTGTGTGCACAGGGGTATCTTCAAAGCTATCGCAAAGACTCAAATTTAGAATCAAATTTTCTTGCTGGGAAAAAATTCAACTGAAAATGCTCTGATCTTTGGGGCAGCAGCCACTGCTTTGTATTGTTCACACAGCCATACAAACAAGCTAATGACTGATTCAGTGGATGCACTTAATCCACCAGGGACCAGCATTATTTGTTAATAGATCGCATTTTCACCCAGCAGTTCTCCTTTCAGCAGTTCCTCACACCGCTGGGCCTGCTAGCTAGTGAGTGCAGCCTTCTGCTCCCCACCCGCCTTCTAGAACGGAAACTAGCTTGAAGGCAGAACACCACGCATAATAATTATCCGCCTGGCGACAGAGCAAGTCAGCTCTGCCCCTACCAGTACTGTACGTGCTTTTGCACCGACTCCAAATAGCTTACAATTATTTTTAGAGGTGGCCGGACCCTTTTTCAAAGCCCAAAAGCCATTATCCTAAAAGGACAATGGGTTTAATAGAGGAAGACAGAAGGGCTGGGGGAGGGGGAAGAATTGCCATAGGGTAGTGTAAAATCATAGAAATGTAGGACTGGAGAGACCTCAGTAGGTCATCGAGTCCAGTCTCCAGCCCTGAGGCAGGACTAAGTATTACCTACAGCTGTCTGACTGGTTCTTAAAACCCTCCAATGATACCAGGGAGTGTGTAGAAACCTGTTCCAATGTTTAATTATCCTGACAGGAAGTTTTCCCTGACCGTCTAACCTAAATCTCCCTTGCCCCAATTTAACCCCACTGATGGTCGTGGTGAAGAAAAACAATACATCCCCCTCCTCTTTGTAACGACCTTTTTAACACTTGCAGACTTATCAGGTTCCCCCTTAGTTTTCTCTTCTCCAGATTAAACAAACCCAGGGTTTTTGGGCTTTTCTGTAGATCCAGACTCTCCTCTAGACTTTCTCCAATTTATCCATACCTTTCCCAAAGTGTGGTGCCCAGAACTGGGCCCAGTATTCCAGCTGAGGCCCTATCAGTGCCTAGGACTAGGGATATATGCAAGTAGTCGACTACCCGATAAGCCTTGGCTTATTGGGCTGTTGAGTCGACTACTCGCATTTCCCCTTCCCCCCACTACCTTTATCGCAGGCGGGCGGGCGGGCGGGGGGGGCAGGAGCCAATGCTAGGAGGAACCAGCTTAAAAGCTGGTTCCCCACCAGCACTATCTCCATGGTGCCGCTTGTCCCACCATCACTGCTGCCTCCGGTTACTGGCTTCTGAAGACCCCTCCCTAGGACAGCGGAAGCAGTATTTCTTTAATTAAAATCTTTGCTCCAGCTACAGCGTTACATTTCAAGGATCACACCATCACCTACCAAGTCCATTCTGACTCCTGGTTTGTAATGTGTTGGGCCACCAAGTGGCAAATCACAAACTGCCCGTTCACGGCTACACTGCACAATCATGGTGAAAACAAAAAAAGCAACAAAGCACAAAACAATTGGCATCGGGAGTGATTCAAGTTTAGTAACAGATCAGGTGTTCAAGAGCAAGGCACAGCTACTGTTCTGCTGACACCTTCCCTAAAGAGACCCACCTCTCTGCTTGCGTAGTCTTCCCCAGTGATGGAGACATTCCTCTTTGCGAATGCAGTTGCCAGATGCCGAGACCATGTATTCAGTACCACAGCGGCAGCAAACCCTGCACGAAGCTTTACAACAAGGGGAGTTAGTTGACTTCTGACAGTTTAAACAGGGCAATCAGTATGTTAAACTACTTATCTCCACTGTCAGGAAGGAACAGGAGACAGCTTTGCCTAGTGTTCAGAGCAGGGAAGACTGGGAATGAGGAGGCCAGGATTCCTAAGCCCCCCCAAAGACTAAGGAGGTGACCCTGGGAAATTCAGCATCTAGAGCTCAGTTTGCCCACTGGGTACAGTGCCGCTTACATGCCAACTAAGAGGTGTTAATGAAGCTTAATATTTGTTAATTGCTTTGCACTCGGTTTTGGCCTCGTACATATCCTGCGTATTTTAAGTGATTATATGGCCACAATAACTTAGGATATAGCCAGGAAACACGGGATTAGAAAACACAATGTGCACGCACACACACCATGGCTCAGCCAACTTTGCAGCTAAAACGTTAACTGATTCCCCTGAATCTTCCATGCTGGAATTCTCAACCTTAATGCTGTCTTAATGTTTAGATTTTGCATTTCATTTCCCTGATTTCACAAGAAATAAAGACTTAAACACAGAAAACGAGGTCACTTTTACCATGGCTTGTGCTCAGATGGAAATAAGCAGTTAGACACCTCAAAACAAAAGGATGTGCCAAATAAGTCTTTTTAGAAACTGTGTAGCACAAGATGGAAAAAGGTATTAACAGCACATGTGAACATGACACTCGGGCCCAAAACCGTATAAATATTGAACCAATTTTTGTCAAACTTAGCTTGTATGCTTCCATTATTGCAAACTGTAAACCAAGCTTGGTTTAAATCTTCTAAATTATAAAGGATTTGAAAGCACGAAGTCTCCAATTAGACTAGACGGAGAAAAAGGTGTATTTCTCCCACTCTGGTCTCATTTTTAAATGGGCTCCCACTGCGAACTGGCACCCGCTGCCACCCCGCACTGCTGCCTCTGTACCAGCGTGGGGTGGCTAGGGGCTCCCCAGGAGTGGGGCTGGGAGCACACTGGCTGCCGTCCCCATCCCTGGGGACTATCGGATAGTTGTGTAACTGCTAACATTTGATGCGGTTACACGATTATTCAATTATGCAGGATCTAACATCCCTAGCCATAAGACTGCATCTTACTAAAAATGCTGTAATGCTTTAGCTGGTATAGGGAAATGCAGCTCCTGGTGAAACATGACACTAACAGCGCACCACAAACCAACACCAAAATAGAACTTCACAAGGTATTTAAGCAAAGCACAACACAGACTCATAGAATCCCAGAGCTGGCAGAGACTTCAGGAGGTCATCGAGTCCAGCCCCCTGCCCAAGGCAGCTCAACCATCCCAGCCAGGGCTTTGTCAAGCTGGGACTTCAAAACCTCTAGGGAAGGAGATTCAACCCCCACCCTAGGGAGCCCACCCCAGTGCTTCACCAATATGAACTTCATTAGGAACGTGGCCCAGATCGCTGGAATATTACCCCTGCTCTTTCCAAAACGTACCATAGGATTGTTAATGACCACAAGTGATTAAAAACTCGGTTTGTGCATCACCTGAAAGGAAACAGGCACAAAACAGAGTGCTAGGTGATTTCCTGTTGTGTTTTCTGCTTTGTTCACTATTAAAAGGGAGATTCCAAAGGCAGAAAGCTAACCTGCAACCCGAGTACAATAATTCCTTGCATTCTAGTAGAGCATCATTTTAGCTAACAAGCGTTCATGAAGACTGTATAGGGTTATCTACTGTATATTTCCACTCAAGATATTGTGATGACATAATAATGTATGCTTCCAATGGCTGAAGTCACTGATAGCACCAAAACCAAAGCTCCCAATCCACCCACAGAAAGCTTTAAATACTATGAACTCAGAACTGCATGAAGGTAAGAGATTGGTCAGCTCAGAAAATAAAGCATTTAATACCGCACGTGATAACATGAAAGCCAGTCAACCTCAATGCGGGATGCATCAGTAAACAGTACAAACGTGGACACAAAGTGTTAAATGGACGAGCACTTAACATGCCTCAGCCAGCGAACTCTCCATAACCAAATGGCCAACTCCGCTGAACAAGGTACCTCAACTCCCTTATTTGCGCATATAAATTCTGATGATAAATTTGTATCTTTCAATTTGGCCAGACATTTTATTCAGTCTATAGGACTCTGGTCTCCTCTAAGCTTAAAAAGAAGTTTAACTTCTCCTACCAGATATTTTTCAGAAAATCAGATTCACTGCTTATTAAAAGGGCCTTTAAAATTACATGTAGTAGCACCCCCACGTGGCAGAATTGAAAACGACACTAATCTAAATCCTGCTGCAGCATTAATGGGGACCCAGTCAGCCAAGGCCTGCTGTTTCTTAAACCATCACAGCACTTCATGGGAGCGACAGCTATTTGCGCCCTAGAATAAGTATCCCTCAATTCCTGCATGGAAACCCCTTAAACAGCTCCCCGAGAGGCGCTCTGTGAAACAATTTGCCATGTGCCCTCCCCAGACACTGGATGGCCTACAAGCCCTGGGATGTTCTGAATTCCAACCAGAGACACTCACTATGCCTAGAGAGAGAGAAGTCCATGGGATCTGCTGGATGGGAGGAAGGCGAGTAGGAACTCAATTAAAAAGTGCTCCACTCCAATACTGAAGTCTAGACACTTGTTCCCAAAAGCACAGAACCTTCGCTGCCCTCAGGACCGACCCAACACCAGCCAAAGTTGGACATCAACAATACGTCTACACACACTAACTTCTGAGGAGCTAATAAACTTTTACCTCCGTTGAGGTCTATAGTCAGTCGTGCTCCATGGCAGGGTGGAGGACAAGTGACTGCAATCCAAGCCATTTCTTCTGAGGATATGCTAGTCAGTGGCCGAGGAAGTAATACCAAGAAATTCTTGCTGCTGACAGCTGCTAGAACCAACACCCATGACCTATGGCGCTGTGCTGAGGCTTATACTGAAAATAGTGTTCCAGGACACAAATTCTTACGAACCTCCAGTTCATCTGAAAGATGAGGAGTTGTTTGCAGCCACCCTCATCTTCAGTATGAAAGGGCAGCCTGCAGAAACACAAGGTCCTGCCATATGAAGTTCTACCTTCAGGCTGGGATCTATAGTGTCCTCAGCCTGCACCTTCAATTCGAGGGACATGGGTGGCTACAGGAAGCATGGGGAACACAGGCTGTACTTTGGCTAACAAACCTTACTGGCCACAACAGCCAGCAGAGCTTACAGTCTGTCGTTTTCTTCTCTTCCACAGTGAAAACTACAGCACGGCCAGGTTTTTCTGGATGCGGCATTGGATAGCCATTTTCCTTCAACTGCTCCTCCGTCAGGAGATACTCCTTCAGTCTTCTGTACAAAGCAGCCCCTAGGGATCAAAGGAAAGGCTGATGTTGCACTACTGAAGCAGCAAGAATAGCAACCATTTCCTAAGCGGCAGCTGCACCACTCAATGCGTCTCTCACTGAGCCCCATTGTCTCAAGCTTGCTCCTACATCTTCTGCTCAGTGTTTAAAGAAGGGTGTTGGATTCCAAGGCCAACATTTTTCAAACGTGGGGGCAGACATGTGTGACCTGAGTATAGAGTTGTTCAGACCAGCACCTAGGTCTGACTTTTGGCCTTGGACTGGAAAAGCAGCCCAAAGCGGAATTCCTCTGAAGGGTCAGACTTTAGAACATTTCACTAGTGAGAGTGCACACTTGGGAGCTTGATACATTATTTCAATCTTTAAAATGTTTTAACCGATATATGGTTAATTGTGCCTGCCTTCCACCAGACCCCAGCCATTTGTCTCACGGTCAGGGGTTTTTTCCCTATTTTCTGCTTGGGCTTTCCTTTTTGTTAATTTCATTCCATTGTGCCTCGTACCACTCTCAGTAACTCTCTTCCATGCTTGGCTTTTACACCCTTCAAATACTCAAAGACTGGTGTGTTTCCTTCCAATATTGCTTAGCTGAGCTAGGGATCCATTCAAACGTTCCTCGTATGTCAGTCCCTCCAGCCGCTTAGTAACGTGTGTGGCTTTTCACTGATCTCCCCAACAGCCTATCTATGTTGTTTGGCAACTGATTTGGTCCAACAGCGATAATGCCATGACAGGAGCTCTTTGCCTACAATGGGGCCTTTTAGTACACTGTTGCTAAACCATTAGGAAGTGAATCCTACAGAATATATGGAAATACATTAACGATGAATACAGACACTCTCGCCTTACGCAGAGGAACTCAGAAGAACCACACCCTTCTGGGGCAGGCAGGTAAAAGCAACCCCCAGTCCAGACAAGGCAAGTGAGTGAGATGGAGCATCCAAAAGGCATCTGCAAATCCGAGCTCATCAAAAACGTTTTCTGACCACCTGTTACTTCGAAGCCATGTGAGCAGGATCACTGAATTCACCTCAAAGGGATAGCCCGGAAGAGGGAGGGCAGCTACAGTGCACAGCAGCAAGAGGTGGACTCAGTTTTCCCCAAGGGCAGGGGACAAAAGCCAAACATGCCACTGCAGTGAAGGAGCCTGCAGCTCTTAAACAGACTTAGGCACCCAGTATAGGCGGTGCACTGTTTGATAAGTGATCACGTGCAAAGCTGGGACCTGACGACAAAGCCCCATTGTCTCATGGAGCAGCGCTGTGCCGCCTTCCCCTACTCCCGCTCTGTTATACTTGCACCTCTGACCTGCAAGCTAGGGAGCTAGAGCAAAAGGGACTTACCTGTCAGGTCCTCTGCCCGCAAGCTCCCCGACTGGTTTAGTGTAAAGCTCGTCTTAGCAGCAAGTTTCCCGCCTAGCACAGCTTCGTGGGACACCACCTTCCTGTTACTGGTCTCTGTAGCGAGGGGGGAGAAGGGAAACAGGAATAATAAAGGGTCAAATACTCAGTGGCCACCCATCCCAAGTAGAGTCTTTACTGCTGCGGCTTGGGGCATGACACACAGCGGGAAGCTCGGGTACAGACAGGCTGGGTAGCTGGAAAAAGGATGGCTCCATTTACTTCCTTGGAATGTGTCTCTACTTCAGGAACTGGAATTTGTTTGGTGCTCTGAGACTGGCCTGGCACAGGCTCACTGCTCCTGTCAGCCTACTGTGGTTTTCCCAGGGGCAGCCAGAAAGTCTGTACAGTTCTACAGTGAACGCCCATCAGCCGCACGCTCACTGCTCTGGACCACACAAGCCAGTGGGCTAGGATAGCACAATCCGGCTTGTTGACGAACAGTGAACAATGCAGCCACACCGCCGGCCTGATTTCAGCCATGGGGACCGTTACCTCTTCTGCTGCACAGCATCCCTACTTGGCAGAAACGTGTCCTGAGAGCAAGCAGGCAATGCACCCTCTGCCCCAGCTCTGTAGCTAGGAAAGCGAGGCTGTTTCCTCCCTGCTTGAGAGCTTTCAAGGGGAGGCAGAATTCAGCTCTGCAGCATTTCTGCCAAAGACATCACCCACCGCTTTTTCTATCCAACAGTCTCACCAAGGCCTACAAGAGGGCCAGGGCCCTGCTAACTAGACTTCTACCCTGAATCTTTCACCCTGCTTCAGAAAAGAACCTCAGCACTTGGGAAGACATTAGATAATGGTTCACAGGTGCTTTGTACTCATCATTAACTGGCAGCTCTCCAAAAGGCCTGCCTCCCAAAGTTCAGACACCCTGACTAATGGCTGTGAAAGTAAAGGGGGAGGTGGCGAGGGAGGCTGAGATCAGAATTTTTTTTCACAAGAACAGCACAAATTGATTGTTTAATGTACCCTCTTGAGAGCCAATAATGAAATGTCTTAACCCTCCTCTCTTCTCTCTCGAAGCTTAATGCGAGTAAGAGATTTCTGGGGTGATGGACGAGTCTCTCACTTTGAAGGCACCATGCGAAAGTTATTCCATTAGCAGGATTTTTCATTTTAAAGAACTTGGGCTAAAAAAACCCCATTCTTGCAGCATGAGGTATAGACAGCCTACAAAGCAGCGGAGGACTTGTCTCTCAAGGAGGACTATTATAGCTAACTCCAGCTGGGTGCCTTTCTAACCCAGTGCATCTGAGAAACGGGTCTGACTTTTCAATCTGTGTCACTGCTGCCTCTAATTCCATCCTGGGTTTGGATTTGAAAATCCTCATTGCAGTACGTACTGTTTACACAAGGCGGGGAATTGGGCACTAGACTTCTTAGCTTCTTTAATGTGTTCACTGCCACATTCAGGTAGATGTTCCTGCTGGTGCTGCGTTCATAAGCCACCTTCTCCTCTGATAGAGCCTGCAAACAATGTAGGTTGTTACCACCTGCTCATTTAGCATGACCAAGTTCAGCTGCGTGAGAGAGAAGCGATTCTTCCTGAACACAGCCCCCTCCTGCACTAGCAAAGTGATTGTCCGTGCAACTGGCACCAATGAAGCACTGTGCCGAGATACATGGCAAGACACACTAGTTCAGAAACTGCCTGGTGTCCTCTTACGTGTGTGGGAAAATAGGATTAACAGCAGGTCATGGAGGGGAGCATTTAAACACTAGCCATCAGAAACCACCTCCTTCCATGGAGACGTTTAACAGCTAGATTCATAGCGCAACTCTGGACTCTGTCTATGGAACAGGTGCTCACAGTGAGGCTGACAGCCACTGTGGGCCCCGGGGCAAGGAGTGGGCTATGGGCAACCAGCCCTCAGCACGGCTAGCCCTCAGTGCTGCCAGCCCACGCCCCCACCCCGGCCCTTAGAGCTGCATCAGGACATATTAATGTTGTATTAACAGGATACCGTGAGGCTCCTGAAAAATCAAGGCACCAAGACGCAATAGTGAGGTAACGAGCTTTATAGACCATGTCTGCACCCTACTCCTCTCGGTAGAGACTGACTAAATCTCCGGCATGCTTGGGAAGGACTTTCTAGACTAACGCTCTGGTTGCTTCAACTTCTCAGCCAGGAACCCAGAAGATGATTTCCCTAGGACCATGCATACATCTCCCAGCAGGGAGCAAGAAGAAAGTCTATCGGAGTTGTAATCTTCACCGTTTTTCTAAGGATCGTATTTCCCCTCCCGAAGCAGCAGCATTGGCTTCAGCACAGCTAGAAAACATAACCCCAAGTGATCACGGCAAACAGGAAAAAAGCCTTTCTTAAAGTCGTTCTGAAAAGTTGGTGCCAACACAGACCTTGTCAAATGCTTCCTGGGAGGAAGAGCAGAACTTCAGGCACTCGTCAATGAAGAGATTGAGATACCTTTGGCGAATATTCGTTGGGACTTTGGCACCAAACTCAGTGGGAATAACTGGCCTCGTTAAGCTAGCACTCTGAAGAGAAAAGGAAAGGAATTAAAAGGCTGTGCAGGGCCTGAGCAACAAATTGCTTTGGGTATCTGATGTTTCCCAGGTGTTATTAATAGTTCTGTGACTTCCTTTCTGAAAATCTGCTCAAACCCCAGTACAGTGTGTCTTATTTGCAGTCACAAAAACACCACTTGCAACTGCGCTGCTCCCCCACAGTATTTTTATTTTAAAGAGGTAGTGACATTTTTAGGATGCTTTGTTACAGCAGAGCGGAACTGGGCCATAAGAGTCCACATGGCAGACAAGTAGTCTCAGTGGCGTTAGATGCAAAGCTAGTATGTCTACATAGAAAAGTCTCCCACACCAGGAAAATTGTAGCACTTACATTAAAAGAGTCAAGGTTAGTGTGGTGACAAAGCATCACACTTCGTATCGGAGACATGACTGAATGAAATCAAACATAAAACCAATAGCCTGTGGTGCACATTTCCGATACTCCACCTGCAAAGAAGGGAAAATGGGAGGCTGGCAACACGCTAAGGGGCTGAGTTAAGATAGTTTGGCAACCTACCTGGATTTCCATACTCGCAGTTTGGGGTTCTCGTACGTTTAATTATGCCACTGAATTTCCTGTTTTTGTATGGTTTTCTGTGCGCCATCTACAATGTGCTTGTAAGAGCCTTTACAGTAAGCATAACTCGTACGCACTTTCTATGCTCTACAGATTTGTGTCTTGGAATACTAAATACAAATAGTCGACGTCTATATTGGCAAGATTTTGCGCAAATACTCTTTAACGCAAGAGTTTTTGCGTTGGAGTATTTGAGTAAGAGAGCATCTACACTGGCATGTGCTTTTGCGCAAGAGCATCCGTGCCAGTGTAGATGCTCTCTTGTGCAAGAAAGCTCTGATGGCCATTTTAACCATCGGGCTTTCTTGCGCAAGAAATTGATGTTGCCTGTCTACACTGGCCTCTTGCACAAGAACAGTTGCGCAAGAGGACTTATCCCTGAGCGGGAGCGTCAGAGTATTTGCTCAAGAAGCACCGATTTTATACATTAGAACATCAGTGTTCTTGCGCAAGTACTCGCGGCCAGTGTAGACAGGTGGCAAGATTTTGCGCAAAAGCAATTGCTTTTGCGCAAAATCTTGCCACCTGTCTACACTGGCCGCGAGTACTTGCGCAAGAACACTGATGTTCTAATGTATAAAATCGGTGCTTCTTGCGCAAACACTCTGATGCTCCTGCTGAGGGATAAGCCTTCTTGCGCAACTGTTCTTGCGAAAGAGGCCAGTGTAGACAGGCAACATCAATTTCTTGCGCAAGAAAGCCCGATGGTTAAAATGGCCATCAGAGCTTTCTTGCACAAGAGAGCATCTACACTGGCACGGATGCTCTTGCGCAAAAGCACATGCCAGTGTAGATGCTCTCTTACTCAAATACTCCAACGCAAAAACTCTTGCGTTAAAGAGTATTTGCTCAAAATCTTGCCAATGTAAACGTAGCCATATTCTTTGTATTTGAGTATGGTACAACCAACCAGTGCAATCAGAGCTGGGACTGCAGCACACGCAGACAACTAGATCAGAGCTGGTTTGGGTATTTTGAACAAAATCAGCGGAGAAGTCACAGCAGGCTTGGCAGAGACCCAGCCCAGTTACCTGGTACAACCTTGCCCAGGACCCTGCGAGCAGCTAATCTGAGCTGCCATGGCTTCCCTGCTATTGTTGTTCAAGTTAGCTAGGTCAAAGCCAGCTAGGGCATGCCTCCATGTGCTGTAACTGCACCTAATGATTGCTGTGCAGACATACTCTAGATGTCAGCTTATATTACAAGCAATACATTTCAGTCTCTTCCTATAAACTGTATGGTCACATCTCAAAGCCACCCAACATTTCGGTACTGTTTTTGCCAATCTTTGCTCAAGAGAAGCCCAGGAACAGAACAGCCCACATGCTGCAAGCTAAGACTGAGGTGAACCAGGAGAGACTGTGGGGCAAAAGGAACCCGCAGCAACAACTGCTCCAGTAAAGATGAAATTTTGTTTTGCCATGCTACTGGCCCGGACTTGACAGGCAAAAAGGGTGCTTCTGTCAGTCACGGTTATTTAATCAAGTTAACTTAACACAACCAAAAATCACTCGTAGTGCTCATTAAGCTACAGCCTTTTTCAACATAAACTAAGGTGTGACTTTAAAGAGATGTAATTACACCAGGAGAGCTTCCTGCGTAGACAACTCGCCTTTTTCCAACTTAGTTGATGTCACTTGGGAAGGAGTCTGAGCTAAACTGAAAAAAGCCACTCATTCTGGAATAAGGGGGTGTTCACAAAGAGGGCTATACTGGTATAACTAGACCCATTTAAATTCACACCTCACATACAACTACAAAACCCTGAAGCTTTTCTGTGTAGACAAGACGTCACTCAGGTGAGTAACGATATTGAAGTGCACCCTTTTTGTTCAAACACTGAGAGCTGCAGCCTACGTGGCACTTTTCAAACACACAAGGTGACAAGGTCTGTGCCCCAAACAGCCACAAATCTACAGAGGATACAAACAGGGTACAGGCACAAGACAGGCGATCAGAGCTGGAATAAGATCACAATATATTAAACACTAGAATTCAGTTGCAGATATGTCCAGGTGGTTTTCAAAAGGTTACTTTTAGGACAGAAACCACATTTGCCATGAGGTCACTCTGAACGGAATGGTCAGAGGAGCATTTCCTCAAATACTTGTGTGTTTACACACTGCAGGTATGCACAGTAAGAGTGGGAAATCCACTTCGAACATGGCAGCAGTTATCTGAAACTCATTGCCTGGGAGCCTGCAGGTGCACACTGTTCCACTCAATCAAACCAGTGTGGAATAAAGGGAAAAGCCATACTACAGAGATGGGTTTGATACACCAAGAGAATGTTTTACCTGCAGACTGGGAGCATGTGCTATTCTTTTCTGTACAACAGTAGTAGTGGTCTTAGACGTCATGCCGGCTAGCGTACGGGCCTTCAGGGTAAGAGCCAGTGCCTCCGACTCACTGGGGACTGTCACGCTGCTGACTGGAATGGTTTTCTTAACGCCCACAGTGGCTACGGAATACAGAAACCGCACAGTTAGACAGCAATCCCAGCCACAATACTCATTTTCACTTGTCAGATTGAACACCCAACGCTCAAAGACTGGACTGCAAAATGGGATGCAGGAATGGTGGCAAGTTTAATTCCTTGTGCTTATCTGCCATGTCAATGGAGAAAGCACCGAGCAGGTCTGTTAAATGAGAGGGGATGTGTCTAACCCATGTAGTGATGATGGTGGAAGTTTCTGCTGAAATGTGCCATACAGCTAGTCTTTGATTTGGGAATTAGTGTTAGAATTGAGACATCTGTTCAATTTTGTCACTCTCCTACTCGCGATCAGTGTAAATGCTCCTGGGTTTTTCTTCCACAGTTCTGGATGTAATCCAATGGTCATTTTTATTTAATACAAAATGCACGAATGTCATGTACAGGCAGTCCCCGGGTTACATGGATCCGACTTACATCGGATCCCTACTTACAAACGGGGTGAGGCAACCCCACACTAGCTGCTTCCCCCCAGCAGACCAGGGAGACGTGAAGCTAGCGCCCCCCCCAGCAGACCAGGGAGACGTGAAGCTAGCCCCCCCACTCCACCCCACCCCAGCAGACCAGGGGGACGCGGAGCGGCTTTTCTCAGCAGATACCTCAGCTTGAGAATAAAGGACTGAGGGAAGTGAGGTGTGGGAGAATAAAACTGAGCTCTGGAGAAATGTTTGGCTAGAGTTTCCCCTACAATATGTACCATTTCCAACTTACATACAAATTCAACTTAAGAACAAACCTACAGTCCCTATCTTGTACGTAACCTGGGGACTGCCTGTACTCAAATGGCGTGGGAAGGGCAGGTGAGAAAATCATTCTTAAGCCCTCAGAGCATCAGAAAGTGGACTCATTCATCACCTGATCAGAAGAGTTCTTGGTTGTTATTGGAAGTCCTTGTCCCCCTCCTGAGACAACACTTCTGTGATACAGCAAGAGGGAAGGGGCTCAGAGACTAAGCTCTAGACTCTCACACTCCCAATGACACTTAAGGCTTGTCCTCACTTCTGCACTACATTGATGCAGCCACACTGATGCAGCACGTATGGTGAAGATGTGCTATGTTAATGACAGAGCATTCTCCCACCAACATAATTACTTCATCCCAATGTGAGAGGAAGAAGCTGTGTCATAGGACACGTCTTTCACTATGGGCCAGATCGACGGGGCACTGACCTGTAAGAGGAGCAGCTAACCATTAATAGGCAATGTTTCCCTCTATGCTGTTAGAGGACATTCCGGGTGCATCTACACTGCACCCTTAGCTTGCAGTAAGCTACAAAAGTTACATAGCTTATTTCGTAATTTGGCACCAAATTTAAAAATAAACCACTATTCCTAAACGTCCCTTAATCCTCGTGGAACGAGGTTTACAGGGACGTCGAAATAGCGAGCCCATTATATTTTGAAATAACGGGCTTGTTTCAAAGATGCGGGATAGCTATTTCGGGATACTGGAAGTATTCTGAAATAGCGTCGCAGTGTAGATGTATCCTCCTTTCACACTACACATGAAGAAGTGGTTGGCTTTCTTTTCATACCCGGCATGATAGTTTTTGTATGAAGAAGGAAATAAAGATGCCAGAGTTTGTGTTTCCAATGAACTAATTTGTTGCAAGCTGCCCTCAACTTAAGGGGCGAAATGAGAAACACTAGGGCTGTGTCTATACTGGGCCACTTATTCCAGAAAAGCAGCCACTTTTCCGGAATAACTTGCCAGCTGTCTACACTGGCTGCTTGCTTTTCCGGAAAAGCAATGACGATCTACTGTAAAATGGTCAGTGTTTTTCCGGAAAAACTATGCTGCTCCCATTCGGGCAAAAGTCCTTTTCCAGAAAAACTGTTCCGGAAAAGGGTCAGTGTAGACAGCACAGCAGTCTTTTCCGCAAAAAAGCCTCGATCATGAAAATGACGATCAGGGCTTTTTTCCGGAAAAGCGCGTCTACATTGACCACGGATGCTTTTCCGGAAAAAGTGCTTTTCCAGAAAAGCATCCTGCCAATGTAGACGCGCTTTTTCCGGAAATACTTATAATGGAAAACTGTTCCGTTTTAAGCATTTCCGGAAAAGGGTGCCAGTGTAGACGTAGCCTAGAAGTACAGTGAAGGAAAGCAAACTATGTTAAGTTTCCTTTAACATAAATGCTTTCCCTAACTTGGTTTTAATGGTTTAGCATTGCTGAATTGATCCATTTATAAAGTTAATTGTCTAGGACGATAGTTTGTTTAGAGCTAAGAGGTATAATTTCAAGTCCTGTACTCTCTTAAAGTTAGATTTTAAAAGGTAAGGGCCTTAATTCCTACTAAATCATAGTTACATGAATAGGGAGTCCACTCTCAAACCAAAAAGAGAAAAAAAAAAGGTTAGTTTCTTCATTCTAATTTTTCTCTCTCCTCCTAATACCAGTTGATAGCCCACAGGTAATCCTTTAAAACAGGATACTACATCATCAAGATTGTTCTATAACTTACCTTGCAAAGGTGGCAGAGGACAAAGAAAACAGGGCTCCCTGGATGCTGTACGTGCTAAAGGTATCATAGGCCAAAAGAACCAGGACGCTTATCCCCCATTACCTACATAACATTCCTATGTCATAAAGTCAAGAAACAGCCCAATAATTTTTAAAACATCTTTTCTCATCCAAAAAGTTCTAAATGGAGGGTTCTAGAGTCTGATCTCCAGATCTCCTTTGTGGGAGTACTGACAATACCCAGCGTGGTCCTACAGTGGGGAAGTAAAGCTTATAGTGCTGTGAAAGCTTTTATCCTGACAAAAAGTCAACACAGATTTTTCTACTTTTTGAACTTGTGTCTCTCTGAGGTAGGAATATGAACATGAAACGTGCAAAGTCATTTGTGCCCAAAGAAAGAAAAAGAGTATCTAGCGGCAGGATTCAATGGTCACTGAATGCTGAAGAGAAAGGGGCAGGTGGAGTTCTGCCCTGGCACGCAATTACAATTCGCATGTTGACATTTCCAACAAGCCTGAAAACCTAACACACCCAACAGATATTTTATGCAAACAAGGGACTCAAAAGAAAGGCGTTACATTTTAAAAAATACAAGTTTTGGACAAACTTGGGAGATTACAACCTGATGATACCACTGCCACAGGCTAAGTGAAATTTTGGTATGAACAAATTTAAAAAAGAATTAGAACTACACAGAAATAAAATCAAAAAGCCATTCACAGAAATTACAGAACTTTTCCATTATTTTGCCAACATTTCTGATCCGAAATACAAAGGTTATAGGTTGAACCCTGAACAGAAGAGGCCAAATCATGACTGGTGGAAAATAAATTCATACCATCTCATCCAGCCTTTAAAACCAAAAATCCAGCTTTCTACACCTTAACTATGGTTGTGAAGGCAGTGATGGAAAACTGAGGAAGGAAAGTCAAAGCACACCTGCCTTCAGAATTTGCCATTTTCTAGAAGACCTTAACTCCTGTCCAGCTGTCTTAAGTTCAGTCCAAAAGGTTCAAATTAGTCTGAATTTTGTAATATGCTACATACTGAAAAAACAAATAAGTTGGTACAAACATATCCAGATTAGTGATGTAATAGTGTATCCGATTAACCAATAAGCAAAATCTTACAGATTAATGCTATAGATTGCATATGTATTTCACCCCACCAGTAAATTTTTTTAGCAGGCTGGCCAGCAGCCCAGCACAGTTCTAGTTCACGCCGGGTCTGAGACACACTCTAAATGCAGAGCTGCAGTGGAAGTAGATTAGAATCAAGGCAGGCAGGCAACCTGGCTCAGTTCTGGCTCATAACAGGTCCAGGAGCTCAGCCCACCCCTGGACAGAGGCTGCTGACACCCCATGCTGCTGCCTCTCTATCAGAGGCAGCCGCGCAGAGCAACAGGCAGCCGGTCCATGAGGGGCTGGTTTTTAAACTGGCTCCCCTCACAGACCAGCTCCCCCATCTGGCACCTGTATTAGAGGCAGCAGCAGAGAGCAGAAGAGAGCTCTTCGGGAGAGAGCACTTGCTGCTGACCCCACCACCAGAGACTATAGAATAGTCGAGTAACCGATAAGAATTCATGAGGTGAACAGACTATTCAATTAACTGATAATTAACATCCCTAATCCAGATCTATAAAAGTGCTTTAGGCCTAACTAGCGAAGAGAATGGAAACTTGATAATGGCATCCTTGTCTTACTAACAAAATGGCAAAGCTGTTCGTTCTGGACAACCTGGCTGAGGAGGAACAAACAGGCTCATGACGTGGATCACACATGCATTTTGTGTTGCATTGCAAAAACTCGTGTGTGTTTTCTAGAGTTTCTTGAAAACAAACCGTGGGATTTTTCAGTTGGGGGGAGAGGGAATCGGAAAATCACAACATCCCAGATTTCTGTCCCATCACACACAGATTTGAATATCACTAATGCTACCTCAACCCGAGGAACATTTCTGGTTTCCCGCAGTCTCGCTGTAAAACACCTGGCGCTTTTACGATCTTTAAAAAATTCTTAAGGAGACAATGCCATTTTAGTGGGAGAAAGCGAAGGGGCCGCGGACAACGGACGCTAGCAGTGACTTACCCTGCTTTGCGGCTGTGGAAAGTGCTGCGTTTGGCACGTGAGCAATCCTCCTCTTCCCTCCTGGCAAGGCAAGGGAGGCCCTTTGGACTGCCACAGCCAGCTGTGCCGCCTGCTGTTGTGCCAGCTGAATCCTCCGGTAACAGACCTCTTGGGCAGTTGGCGGGCGGTACGGTCGGATCACAGGCTTGCTCGGGACATCTGCCTGTAGATACACAAAGTTTTCTAAAACGAACCTGTTTGTTGCTGAAGTCGATACCCTACCGCTTTTTTACAACTCTAGGTCCCTAGATTTAGGCTATCGCTATTAGGTTGCCAACCCTCCAGGACTGTCCTAGAGTCTCCCGGAATAAGAGTGTGTCATGTGATGAAACCTCCAGGAATATGTCCAAAACTGGCAACCCTGTCCATGGCTATTCTATGGAGCTCTGCTAGTGCAGACACATTAAATCAATGGGACAGAGCTCTTCAGGCGGCTTAGCTACTGCTGTTTGTGGGGGCTGGAATAATTATGTCAGCAGGACAACTTCTCCCATAGACATAGTGTTGTCCACACCAGATCTTACATCATTGTAATCTGTGTTGCTTGAGGATGTGGGGGGGAGAAGAGTGGCATTTATTCACCCTCCTGAATAGCTTAACTTATGCTGTAGCATGTACCCAGCCTTATTTTGTTTATAAAGAGTTGTGCATCTCAACTGATGGAAATGAAGTCATGCTAGTCTTCCAGAATAGTTACTTCAGGCAGCTCTCTTCAGTTTTAGTTTGTTTAAAAACCCAGTTCACTTGTGTTTACAGGACCAGAACAGAACGACTAGAATTCAGGGGTCTGTTCATTCATTAGAACAGCCCCCTTCTGAAAAGCACATGGCTCATTTCAAACAGTAATTATATACACCAAAATTACACCTGCATTTTCTTTCATGTGAGAATTCAATATGCCAGAAAGGTGCCAGAATGCGCAGCAATGAAGACTGAAATGTTCTAGCACGAGAACACAAACCAAAGAGGCAGTGGCAGTCCAAACTCTCTCACCCTTCCCACTCCCCGTATCTCAAACCTGACTGCTTGGATACACATCTAGTGTCTTTCAGAAGGGAGTGGAGTTTCTACAACCCATTAAATACCTGACCTCTTTGCTGAGACTACAAACTAGAAAGCTAATCAGCAGCTACTGTTTTATTGCTGTCTGATGTGGATATCTGGGCTCCGCAGTAAGAATAAATAACCAACAGACAATAGCTTCAGATTACTGCAGAATTGAACTGTGAGGTTTCCTACCTTCCCACCCTTAAATCTGCTCTCAAAAACTCAACTAAAGGACACCTCCTTTTCTTTCTGGTTTTACTTTAGCTCTTGAGATGTCAGTGGCAAGGTACACAATTGCAATAATCCCATCGGGGTGCACACAGCAATATTGTGAATCTAACTCTGCATGCATACACATGGTAAAGGTTTTCTGATAATGAAGGGAAAAGTTAAGGGTTCTATAGCATGACATGAAAGTAGCAGGCAACAATACCACTTCCTAGTCAACCCTATCTTTCCAGATCAGGGTTTCCCAACCTATGGGTCGGGACCCAAATATGGGGCGCCATTACATTTCAAAAGGGTCGCCAAGTGTCTCCCCAGGTGGCTCTGTCCCTCTCCTCCCCCTGCTTTTGAACTGTCTTGGGTCATCAAATCTTCCTGCATTGTCAAAATGGGTCACATCTGGAAAAGGCTGGGAACCGCTGTTCTGGATCATGATTTAATGTCCAAGCCTAGGTGCACACTGTTGCTGAGCACAGCAAGACTGCTGTTAGCCTAGACAGTGACTGCACTATGACTACCTCACGTCTTTGAAAAGTGTTTTGGGGTTGGTAGCTGCATTAAGAAAATGTATCTAAAGATACATAAATGCCTAACGTACATATTTACAATGCATATTTGAGTTACATTTCCAACCCATTTACTTCAATCTCTTATCTCTTTTAGTTTATAAAAAGTCTTATCAAACAAGTGAACTGGCTGAAGATATGTAATTAGCTAAAATGCACTGCACTGAGCTCAGGGCTCAAACACCCTTTCCCAGGCTGACTGGAAAGAAGAACAATCCATTTTGGAAATCCTGGTCAAAGCAGTGCTTAAACCTCCACTCATCTCTTGCTGCAACATAATACTGAATAAATAACCTGTCTTCAACAACTGAAGAGAAAAACTATGGAAAACAAATGAAAAATTGGAATGAAAGAAAAGTATGTCCGTTTTCTTGTTTTGTGAATATGCTTTTAATTCAGATGTGTAAAAAAAAGGTGTAAAATTGGTTACTCAGCTGGTTAAAATGGAGCAAATACAAAAAAGGGAAACAGCCCCTCGGATTTATAGTGCTTCAGACTCAGGCAAATACACTATGTTAACCTTTTTGCTTTTGAAAGACAAAACTTAATAAGCTGTTTTAAATGCACAGAGTAACCGGTACAGTAACTGTGATCTAATGAAGATATTTATACCAGCAGAACATGAAAATGTGACACTGTGCCAGTGCATTACAATGCAATTCTACTTACAGGGCTGGTAACTGGTTTTGCAGAAGGTCAATGGGAGTTTTGCCATTAACTTTACTGGAAGTAGAACTGTATTTCAGAGTGAAATTATTCAGTGGGGAAAAGAAAACTGCCATGTAACAGGGTTCCACTGCCAACACTTCAGTCATCTGCCCTAGGATTTGGTGGTTTCATGGACAGTCTGTGTGGTTTCCTAATACATTTTGATCATATGATAGGAGAGAAATCTCATTAACCCTGTCTCCAAACGGTACGCTTGCTAATGCGGTTTACACTTACATTTCCTTGCTTGGCAAGATGCGAGATCCTCCTTTTCTGGCCAGGAAACAGAGTGGTTAAAGCATCATCCACCTTTTCTTCACTTGCCTCCTCTTTCAGTGGCTACAAAACAAAAGTGCAAACTTCCAGAATTGAATGGACTCAAGTTGCTACTCCCTGGGGAGGCTTGGAAAGCCTCTCTCTGTGATAATGGAACCCTAAAGAGAATTGCTTCCAGGCAGCAGGGGAGCACAGACTGCTACCAGCTGCTAAACTACTGAAGGGAGCTAGCTTTCCAAAGAAGAGGCGCCAGTGAAGCATTTGAATAACAGCATTATTGTTCCCACCCATGCAGCCTTTCCATAGACCTTACAATAGGATGCCTTGGTATAATCCAATGCAGACACTATTCTCATGGCTGCCCTTAAAGATTGAATGCTTCAACCATGCTGTTTACCTGCCAACCACTTACATACCTCAATATGTTAGCAACATTTTTAAAACCAAGGAATGTAAATAAACTCTAGATCAGTGGTCACCAACCAGTAGATTGGGATCTACTAGATGATCTTGGAGCCTCTGACAGGTGATCCTGACTGGTTTGGCCAAGAGGTTATCAAGCCCAGCACTTTAGCTGCCCCCCCGCAGACTGCTGAGCATTTCCTGCCCTTTGCCTTGGAGCTGTCCCCCCAGGAGCTACGGAGCAGAGAGGGGGCACGGCAGGACTTGTGATGGAGTTTGCTGTCTGCTTTTGGGAGTGGTGCAGGACCAGGACAGGGGTGAGCCTGCCTTAGCCCCACTACCCAGGAACCACCTGAGATAAGCAGTGCCCAGCTGGTGCCCACATCCAGAAACCTTACCCCAATCATGAACCCCCTCCTGCATCCCAAGACCCTGCCCTAGCCCTGAGCACCCCGCATCCAAACCTCCTCTAGTCCCCCTACTGCCTGCCCCAGGTTCAGCTCAGAGCCCCTCTAGACTCCTTAATCTAAGACCAGAGCCTGCCTCCCAACCCTCTGCCCCAGACTGGTGAAAGTGAGGGAGGGAGGGGGATGGAAGGAGGATAGAGTGAGCAGGGGTGGGGCCTCAGAGAAGGGGCACAAAGGAGGCAGGGCAAGGATATTTGGGTTTCAGGTAGATCTTGGATTGCATTTAAATTCAAAAAATGATCTCATGCTTAAAAAGGTTGGAGACCACTGCTCTAGACTGATTAATTCTGGGGACCACAATGACCTCTCACAGAGCAGACCCTGAAAACCTGCAGGGCGCAGAAACTCAATGCCACGGTGCTGCATTTAAGAGCTAATGCGCCATCTACAAGACAAATCCATTGAGACACAGCGATGCCAGAGAGATGCTTTGTTCACAAGGCAGAAACCAAGAGCTGAACAACAGGTTTGTTGTAGAGGAGATGCTGATTAAAGCGCCTGCTTCCAGACACTTGAATTGCCAGAATAAAAGCCGCTTTTGGGTTGACACCTCAGGCTTGTTACCAGCAAACAGACAAACCAACCAACCTATTCTGATAAAACTCTAGTTAGCTGTTTGAGCTATGCAGGCATGTGCAGTAAGTGTTTCACATATTAACTTGTTTAGAGCTGTATCTGTGCTCTGGTCATTCTTGTTTTGAATGCTCCAAAAGAGCCACCAGCTGAGTTCTCAAGGGAGCCAACTTCAACATTCAGACACAAAGCTATAGACCTGATCTTAAGAAAAGCTCAGTTCTCACTTAAGCATATAAACAAGGGCCAGATTTTCAAAAGAGCTGCACACCTTAGAGTTCTTGCTGAGGCATTTATGACCAAGCTCTCAAAACTGCTCAGCTCTCAGGGGCCTCAAGAGAAGATTAATTCTTTTTTACATCTGACCACTTAGCATTCTACAGTCTTTAAGGCCAGAAGGTACCTTCAGACTAGGGATGTGACCCTGTACTCGTGTACATGGTTAACCAATGAGCCTGATTTTTCAGTGGTTACATGGTTATCTAAATAAATGCATTTTAACATCCTTGCTTCAAACCATCTACTCTGACCACCTACAGATACATGTCATTACATTTCACTCAGATACCCTACATTAAACCCAAACACTTTAATTAGATCAAAACATTCCTGTTCTCAAGAGACTAAACTTGAGCAATGATAGGCAGCCAAGACTAGCGAGTGGGCGGCATAAGTGGCACTCCTTTGGCTCAATGGGATTCCACCTGCAGCCTGCGCACGCCTCTTTGTTCACTTCCCCATGGCTCTCTCAAACAGGGGCACTGGAGTCCCCGCTTCCTCCCTCTCCGTACTTTCGAAGCACCAAGGATCTGCTGATTTGCACTCTATCCCTGCTCCTCCCCCTTCCTCCCAAAGCTTGAACACTGTAAATCAAGACCTGTGGGGAAGAGGAGCAGACAGGGGGTCTGGGAGCCATAGGTGGAACCCCAGTGGGCCGCATGCAGCCCGCACGTTGCCGGCCACTAGACTACACTTTATGCTACAGGCAGAGAATAGGAAAGACCTATGCCCAAGGCCCCCCCAATGGCAGGAAACAGATTAGATGAGATATATCCAGATAACAGGATCATCCTGCTGGGGTTAAGTACCAGAATAGAAGCTGTTGTGCACTAAGCTCTTTTAAAAATCTGGTCTTATAAATATATTCAAAATTAACAACTCATTGAGATCTGGGGCTTCGGGTTGCATTTAGAAGCCAGAGGCTCCTGTCCCCCTCCCCCCCACCAATAAAATAACAGGTGTTATTTCAGTGTGCAATGCTACATACATTCATATACAGTATTTTTTTAAACCAGAGCATTATATATACAGTAGCCCAATGTCTGAGAGTCTAATGCTGAAATGCTGGCTGTTCCCTCTAGGCGGCGCTGTTGGCTGAAATGCTGGCTGTTCCCTCTAGGCGGCGCTGTTGCCTGAAATGCTGGCTGTTCCCTCTAGGCAGTGCTGTTGCCTGAGATGCTGGCTGTTCCCTCTAGGCGATAAGCTTCCCGGTGCAAGCTTCCCGAGCGGTTGCAGTTGGCGTGGTCTGGGACTCCCCCCTCCCCCGCAGGCAGGCACCAGGGAAATAAAGTCCCTAGCACGCCGGCTCCAGCTGCTGAGACAGCGCGTGCTGCCCAAGTGGTTGGGGCTGGCATGGTTTGGGACTCCCTGTTCCTACTGCCCAAGCAGCTGAAGCCGGCACACTATGGATTTTATTCCCCTGCTTCCTGCCTGTGGAGGGAGGGGGGAGTGGGAATGGGGAGCTGGAGCTGGCATGGTGGGGACTTGATTCCCCTGCTGCCTGCCTGTGGGGGAGGGGGGAGACCCAGACCGCCCTGTATGTCACCGCCTTGCCCCCCTTCGCCTCCTGCCGTGGCACTCGGCTGACTTCTGCGCCGCTCAGCCAGGCCGCCGCGTGGGAGCAAGAGGTGCAAATGACCGTTTGGGCTCCATGCTCCCCATGCAGCACGGGGAGTGCGGAGCCCAAACAGCCGTTTGGGCTCCACGGTCCCCCCACGTGAGAGGCAGGAGTGGGAGAAGAGAAAGAGACAGAGAGAGAGAGGCAGGAGGGGGAGAAGAACTGAGAGGGGGGGGGAGGAGACAGTAGGAGGAGGAGAGAGAGACAGAGCAGAGACCAGAGGTTCAGGAGAGAAGACCGACATGGAGGAGAGACCTGAAAAATCCCGTCTTATGACTGGCTAATTGGCTAGTACCTAAATAAACACCTATTCAGAGGCATCTTTCCCTCTTAGAAGACAAACTTCTCCATAACAACTCTGCCCTCTTAATCTTCAATAGAAATGGGATACAAAGGAAGGAATCTTTCTCCAGAAAGGGAAAAGTAAAGCTTTCATAAAGGAACATAAAATGTTAGGGGTGCAAGGAGCAGATCATCGCTCTGAGAAGGAACCACACATATTACCCTATGAAGATTTCCAGTCTATACCATAACACTGCATTTACAGTTTCACTGAAGTGAATTAGAGCTCTCATTCCAGTACATTTTATGGGGAATAAGCGTTTTAAGAACTCCACCATTTTTGCACTATGCAACATTTGGAAAGCTCTAAGATGAGGATAAACATTTCTTGCTATAGTAAACTGGCATGTTGTTAAACTCTTCATGTAAAATTGTTGGTGTACAGTTTATTATTATTGTTAGGACTTTCTTATTAAAGCATGAGGCTTTTGAGAATGGAAGCACAGACAATTAACTGATCTCTGCCCATCCTTTCCTAAACACCATCAAATGAATACTGTGATTAAGCAGTAATTAATTTCTTCTGAACTATTAAACCAGCGGAATCAAGTAAACTGAAAACTCCTTTATAATTTCTTCTACAGGTTGGACCTCCCTGGTGCAGCACCCTTGGGACCCGAGTTGTCCTGAACAAGGGAGCTGCTGTACCAGGGGAGGTCAGTGCTCCCCTGCTGGCTGCCCGCTCCCAGGCTCCTCTCCCTGGGGCTCCCTGCCCTGCTCTGCCCCCCTCTAATGCTGGCCAGGCAGGGGCTCCCCATGCTGTTGCCCTCAGGCTGCCTCAGCGTCCCCCGGGTCTCCCAGCCAGGACTGCCTTGACACTGCAGCCCCACTGCCACAGGGTGTTCCCCAGGGTTCTCCAGCTGGAGCCACTCTACCCCACTGGAGATTCCCAAGTGTTCCCCAGCCGGGGCCACTGCCTCTACCAGTTCCGCTTCAGTTGGGGGGATCCCTGGCCGCGGGTCCCCAGCAGTCACCTGGTCCAGCTGACGCCAGGAGCTCCCGGGCCCGGCCGCCACTTGACCCCACTGATGCCGGGAGTTCCCTGACCAGGGCGGGCGCTCCACAGCTGCTGCGAGGCCCAGCTGCTGCTCCTCAGCCCTCGCATTCTCTCAGCTAGCTCCTGCTCATGGCTCCAGGGCTCTTGGGTCCAGCAACATCCGTGGCCCGAGCCAGAGTCCTGTATTTGGGAGATTCAACCTGTACCAAAGTTCTAACAGTGCCACAAATGTCATTACTTGTCAGCAAGAGACAGCATTAGGCTCTGATTGGGGCCATTACAGAAAGTAACATCTAGAATCAGAAGCTTTATCAGTCAATCATTCTTTCAGGGAGCAAAATTCTCTTTCCCGAACAGCAGTTGTCACTTCAGTTGAGACCCACCAGCAACTTCTCAGGTGCTTAGGAGCATGTGTCTTTTGGTGTCATACCATTGTTCAATACCTGCCAAATGCATCTAATTATCTCCACTTCATCTCTAAAACCTTCCTCCTACTAGAGCGAAGCCATGCAACACACCTGTCTCAGCTAAATGCAACTCTTAATGATTCTCCTTTGCAGTCATAAGTGCCTCCCTAAAAGATAAGAGTGGCCATAAAGATTTTGAGGGGGTTCTTTGAATACAGGAAGTCAGGATTTTTCTAAAGTCTACTCCCTGTTTCATTTCCAGAAAAACTTGCTATGGTGCCAGTGAAGTGGTCCCCAACAGAAAACTTGACAGCATTATATCTGACATGAAATCAAGAGCTTCTGTTCATTTACACCCAGCTCTCATTGTCGAGTTAACTCATGTCAAAAAGATGGAGGATGAGATTAGTTTGTTTCTAGCCCATCATCCCTGAGGCCATTAAAGGATTATTGCTGACTGTGTTTTCTAGTACTTTACCCTATTTAGTTTTAAATGTCTCTATGGATGGGGCTTTCTACACTTAATTCAGAGATTATGCCATAACCATAGGGACCCCGCTGCCAGGCAGCATTTAAGATAAATGTTCTTTTGCTTTATTTCATTCCTCCAAATACCTTTAGCAAGTTTCCCCTCCCACTTCAGGGTTGACACTACTCATAGATGGATGACAGGAATCCTTATGCAGGACTCAACTATGAGAGTTTACAATGGCAAACATGGAGGCTTTGAGAGGTTCCCTTTCAAAGTATCAACTAGATCAGCGGTTCTCACGCTGTGGGTCAGCACCTCCAAGTGGGTCACGGCTCCATTTTAATGAGGGCTTCAGCCCTGGATCCCGGGGCTCAAGTTACAGGCCTCCACCAAGACTGAAGCCCTTGGGCTTTGACTTTGGCCCACCTGCATGCATCTGTGGGGCTGGGGCTTGGGCTTTGTCCTTCTCACATACCCCAAGGCCGCGGGGCTTGGGAGAGCTCAGGCTTCGGTCCCCCTCCTGGGTCATGTAGTAATTTGTGTTGTCAGAAGGGGTCACAGGACAATGAAATCTGAGAACCCTTGAGCTAGATAATACCCTGATTTCCCACTAAATAGGAGTTATTGGCCAGGAAGACAGGAAACAAAAGGGTAGGAATAAATGGTAAATTTTCAGAATGGAGAGGGGTATACCCCAAGGGTCAGTCCTGGGACCAATCCTTTTCAACTTATTCATAAATGATCTGGAGAAAGGGGTAAGCAGTGAGGTAGTAAAGTTTGCAGATGATACCAAACTGTTTAGGATAGTCAAGACAGAAGCAGACTGTGAGGGACTCCAAGAAGATCTCACCAAACTGAGTGACTGGGCAACAAAATGGCAAATGAAATTTAATGTGGATAAATGTAAAGTAATGCACATCGGGAAAAATAACCCCAACTATACGTACAGTATGATGGGGGCTAATTTGGCTACAACAAATCAGGAAAGAGATCTTGGAGTTATCGTGGACAGTTCTCTGAAAACTTCCACACAGTGTACAGCGGTGGTCAAAAAGGCAAATAGGATGCTAGGAATTATTAGGAAAGGGATAGAAAATAAGACCCAGAACATCTTACTGCCCCTGTATAAAACTAAGGTACGCCTACATCTTGAATACTGTGTACAGATGTGGTCTCCTCACCTCAAAAAAGATATTTTGGCCTTGGAAAGGGTTCAGAAAAGGGCAACTAAAATGATTAGGGGTTTGGAACGGGTCCCATATGAGGAGAGGTTAAAGCGACTGGGACTTTTCAGTTTAGAAAAGAGGAGACTGAGGGGGGATATGATAGAGGTCTATAAAATCATGAGTGGTGTGGAGAGGGCTGATAAAGAAAAGTTATTTATTAGTTCCCATAATAGAAGAACTAGAGGACACCAAATGAAATTAATGGGTAGCAGGTTTAAAACTAATAAAAGAAAGTTCTTCACACAGCGTGTAGTCAACCTGTGGAACTCCTTGCCAGAGGAGGCTGTGAAGGCTAGGACTATAATAGAGTTTAAAGAGAAGCTGGATAAATTCATGGAGGTTAGGTCCATAAAAGGCTATTAGCCAGGGGATAAAATGGTGTCCTTGGCCTCTGTCTATCAGAGGCTGGAGAGGGATGGCAGGAGACAAATCGCTTGATCATTGTTTTCGGTCCATCCTCTCTGGGGCACCTGGTGCTGGCCACTGTCGGTAGACAGGATACTGGGCTAGATGGACCTTTGGTCTGACCCAGTACGGCCATTGTTACGTTCTTATATTCTTAGGAAATACTATAGGAAGAAGTAGTCTACCTAGGTGAATTGTCTAGGTCTTGGGTTTCCTGCACACCCAAACCCTACACCTAGCCACCTGATTCCTCCTTGGTCCTCCACTCAATTCAGTTAGTCAGCCACACTAGCCTATTTTCACCATCAATTTATTGCCTTAGAAGTTCCCTGTTGTTTCAGGTGCTATTTGCCATACTGCACTCAGCAGAATAAGTTGCAAGAAGGAGTGGATGTCTCCAGGCTATCAGCAATGATGCTGGAATGGATTCTCTCTGAAAGACCCTAACATTTTCTCCAAAGCACTTGATGTATCCAGCTAGAGACACAAGGCTGCTAGTACACCTGCTGCAAACACATACAATTGCCAATTCTGTTAGAGCAAAGCACTTCAAAACTGAAGGATGTCAAAACTCTGATTCCAGTGCTGTCTCCAACTTATGGCAGGGAGGAACCATTCCCAAACCAGAAGTTTGGAAAAGCAAAACAAAGAGAAATAGTAACTAGATAATACTTCCGATACCAACTTTACTATTGATAGGATGGGAATGGGAACAGATAGTATGTTCAAGCCAACAATACTTTCAAGCACTGGTCAAAATGATAAATGGAATAGCAATTTAAACTGTTTGGGGAGAACTCCCTACTCTTCCCCCAACTCCTTGGGAAAAGAAAAAAAACACACAACACCTGCAAACCACCACCAACTAATGGCACTAAAGCTAGTTGGTTTAACATCTAGGTTTGGAAGCAGGGAAATGGCAGATTAATGCTGAATCAGAATGAGCTTTACCTGCTTCCCGAGCCTTCCCTTGTCTTCTGTTTTCACATCCGTGGACTCGTTAAAAATTCGGAGGCACTCTTCCATGGGGTCAGAGTCATAATCCAAATCTTTCTCCAGGACGGAATAGTCAATATCATCAGAAGTTGAGGACGACGACGACTTGGACAACTTGGAGTGTTTAATGCTCTTTGTCCCTTCATTGTCACTCTGAAAACCACAGGAGCCATCATCTTCATCGGAGTCCGAACTAATGGCTGGAAATGCAGCCAGCAGAGATTGGTCGGCCTTCTCCTCCTCCCCACTCTCGTCTCCAAATAGGTCAACATGGCTCAATGTCCGCTGTTTCAGTTTACCCTTGTCTTTTGAGTTCCCCACTTCTGCAGACCTTGCCTTCTTTTTTCGACAACCAGCGGCAGAGGTCTTGCCCCCTTTGTTTTTGTGTTTCTCACTAGAGGCTTGTTTGCCATTTTTGAGACCAGCTGCCTTTGGCATGGAGTCCTTCTTGCTAACCTCCAACTTCTCTGTGCTAGCTCCCTTGCAGAGGCCCTCATTCTTGCTTTTCCCTGAGCTGCTGGACTTAGACTTCTCTGTCTTAGACACTTTTTCCAGTTTCTCCTTCTCTGGTTTCTTCAAATTCCGATCCAGTTTTGCTTTGATATTTTTCTCTTCACAGTTTCTCTCGCCATTTTTCATTTTCAATTTTTCTTCTTTCTTGATTCTCTCTTTCTTTGTGTTTTTATTTTTCTCCTTCTTGTCCATCTCTTTGTGGCAAGGTGGCTTATTGCCATCTGTTTTTTTCTTTTTCATTTTGTCTTTTGAAATCTCTTTGCTGTCTTTGTCTTCAACAGACTGGTCATTCTTGCCAGAAGATGCCTTTGCCACTTTTGTGTTCTTTTCCAATGAGTCTTTAAGATTTTTCCGTGGACTTTCAATATCTTCCATGTCATATTGCACTGCCATTTCTTTCATCCCCCGGGAATTTAGGTTTTCCGATTTGGTGCTCTTTTCTTTGATAGATAACCCATCACTTGATTCATTTCCAGAACTGACTTTAGATTGTAAACGGCTAACAGAAGTTGGCCGGTAATCCAAGTCGACATCCTCTTCAGAGTCAGAGAATTTGGCATATGTTCCATAGTCATCAGATACATTACAGTGTTTTTTGCATGAAGGAGAATAAGATTCTCCGTGACTAGAGGCCCTTCTCCTTTTGGTCCCCTTCTGTTCCTTTGTGTTGGCTTTGCTCAAAAGCCTTGCTGAGTAATTTGAAAGAGGGTCATATTCCAAGTCCGTAGAAGGCTTTGAGTTATCAATCACATACTTATTGTTACTGACAACTCTACTGTATTTTTTAGGTGGAGCCACAACCTTGGGAACATATTCCAGTGCACCACCTTTGGATTTTGCATTATCAAAAGTATCTAAGGTGTATTTACGTGAACAACTAGCCACAGCCAAAGGTGTAGGGTTGTAGTCTGTGTTGTTGTTCAATTTATAGCTACCTGGGTTATATTCTAAAGAGTCTGTTTTTGTCACAGCAGCTGACACAGATGTTTTGGAAATAAGCGAAGCTGCCTCAGATGTGCTATATTCCTTTGTGGTCTCCAATAGCTCCTCATACTTTTTCTGTTCTCTCTCCACTTCATTTCTGACCTCTTCAATGGCCTTGTTAACCAACTCCAGCTGCAGAATGCTAGGGGTTGACACTGTAATGTCGTCCAAAGCACCATTCGGTATTTGGGTCAAAGGCTTGGGAAGCTCAGGATTATATGGATCATAACCAAGCTCTGTAAGGGGAGGGAAAAAAAGTATCTTAGATCCAGCAATTTTTCTAAACTAAGATTATCTTTGACCATATATGAAAGATCTATTTAAATCTCAAATAAAAGCTCCACTATAATGAGAACCCAGCATTTGAAAAACATCAAACAAAAAAAACAAACAAAAACATGCTCTTGCATGTGCAATGAGACACATTATTTATTCAACATTCTCTGACTTGTGTTAAACTGGAAGTCACACTAGGTGATCACAATGGTGCCTTCTGGTCTTAAAAGCCAATGGAAGCCATTGTGAATCCAGTGCCTTTACTACTTACATATGTGAAAAGTTCCACAGAGAAAAGTTTAATCTAAGAAATTTAAAGTTCAGTTTTCAAAATTATAACTAAAACACCATCTTGTTACTGTACTTATCTGCTCTTCATATTTCTCCTTGTCCTGTCTATTTAATGTATGAAGATTTTTAATTATTTTTATCACTCTGCAGTGCTTACTAACATGAACAAGCTGTATTTTATTGTGACAAAAACTGCCAGCTAAATTCTAATTCCTTTTTATTGTTGATATCAGTGTATGACAGAAGCACCAAATGGCTCCAATTTCACTTGCAGTCCACTGAAGTTTGTGAAGGGAAGGGAGAAAAATATGCTTTATCAGTCAGAATAAGGTTAACACAGAAGACACTGAAAGGGAACAAAGTACCATTGATAATGGGTTCTTTACTACACTTCCATTTCACAGAGCAAGGCAATTAAGACAAGAATATTAAGTACTCTTACAAAATTTAAAGTATAACCTGCAACGTTTCACATCTGTCTTTCCAAAAACACTTTTCAGATGTTGCAACTTCCTCAGAAAACTATAACACAAAAACTGTATGAGAATTTTGGACCACACTGAACAATCCATTTGAGCATCTAGACTACTGGTAATTGTAATGATATCTTCCCTTGCCATTTGATCTTTTACATAGAAACAGAGAAAAAAGAATTGCTGGAGAATTTTTTTTTGGGGGGGGGGAGGGGAGTGTGAATGCATTTTTATTCTTGCTGTATATGTCGTTTGCACATCACATGAAAATTTTACATCTATTTATCCAAATAGAAGATAGCAACTTTCAACTGAGACATTAAAATCAAAGAAAATCAGTAAAGCACAGTCTGATGTCTAATCTGCTCACAAGGCTTATCAAGAATGGAATATTGAAGCACCTGTGTTCTAACCAGTGCACATAATTTTGTGGCAATTATGTAGTCAGCAAGCAACTTGCTCCCTCACTAACTACTGAGCACAAAGACAATTCTCTCCTTTGTAATTAACAGAAATTAATGATAACAATCATGATTCAGGATAACTAAGTGCTATTAAACTGGCCTGTTCAGCCCCATAAGTTTCTTAAAAACAAACAAGGTCCTCAATCAAAATGGTTCTTC